TTAATTAATATATACCTTCTTACCCTCATTCCATTACTCCCTTTACAAATAACCTATTAACCTAAGCTTAGCTCTCGCTAGCTACGTAATAAGATAGTAATTTAGCTAGTAGTAAATTCGATAATAAGTATAGCATGACCTATACTTACGGGAGCTATGGTTACTCTATATAGGCATAAGGCCTATCGTAGCGTGTTACGTAATGCATCAAGAGGGCATATCCTACCGTACTATCATAATATTAATAAACTCGAGGTAATTAATAAAAACCGAGGATATAATATAATAATAAAAAGTTCGGTAGCTTTTACCGACGATAATAACTTAAGACTCTTAAGAGAGACTTTATTTTAATAATTATTTATACTCTTTAATAAAGAGGTAACGCGGGTTTTCTATTAGAGCCTTTAGCTCTTCCCTACACGTCTTAAGATTTTTCTTAACCTATTTATAAAGAGCTTCGAAGTATTACTTCCTTATTTGTTTCTTTTCTTAAGTAATAAACTCTTCGAGTGATAAAAGTATTATCGAATTTAACTTATAATCGTTCGTATTAGGATTAATATCCTTCTAGATATCGAATTACTCAGCGTAGTTTTAGAAAGTAATAAATTATCGTAGATATTTATCGAAGTTGCAAAGGTTAATATTAATAGGTAGTTTTTTAATAGAGTAGTTTCCGTTAGTATTAGTAGTTATTATAGATATATTACTCGAGAGGAAGACGAAAGCGATATAAACGAAAGCGATATTTAAGAAAAAAACGATTAATCGAGAGATTAGAGAGATAGAGATAAATAATAAGATTACTCGAAAGCTTATATAGTAAGACCTTAGTTAACTTAGCTCCTTAAAAGGGTTACCGGGCTTATAATTATTATGTAAATCGGGAGAGCTACCTAGGTACTGTAGTAGTACGGTAAGACATGCCCTCTTAATGCATTACGTAATACGCTACGATAGGCCTTATGCCTATATAGAGTAACTATAGCTCCCGTAAGTACAGGCTATGCTATGCTTATTATCTAATTTACTACCTAGCTAGATTACTATCTTTATTATTTTTACCTTAATTAAAGATTCGTTTTTATTATTAGATACGTCGTTTTCCGATTAATATATTTATTTTAGTTATAAGCGCTTAAGTTACTTCGTCGTACCGCTATAGCCGGATAAGTAACTTTTACGTTTTACTTCTTTTCTTTCCTTACCTCTTATACCTTCGGGCTAGCGACTACTATATCTCTACGACCAAAGGGCATAGCTAAGATACGATAACTACATTAGATTCCTTATCTCTCGATTAGTATAGCAGTACTAATTTTATCTATCTTGGACTATCGTACGTACTATAATCTTCGATAGAGTATACTTTCGAGTAAACCTATCCGGGTCTTTAGTATCGCGTACGCTCTGCTCCTCCTCAGTACTATTAAGGTTACTTCTTAAGAGTAACGGAAGGTAAGAAGAAGAAGGTAAATGAACTATCTAAAAAGGAAGGAGATAAATAAAGGAGATACTATCACGGTTTTAAGAGCTATTCGCTGGGTAAAAGCCGTATGTTGATGAACTAAAGCTAGACGAGGAGAAAAAGGAAGAAAGTGTGCCCTGTGGGCCGCACTTGCGACAGCTGGCCTTATCCTCCGTGGGTGCTGGTCACGTGCTAAGCTCTGGCACTAGCCAGGGCCCTATAATGGGCATAGCCCATTACAGATACGAGCTATTTATATATAAATAATAGGAAGCTACGAGCTATGTTATATAATGTAGTGGTGCGGTGGATCTAGGCTACGTAGCCTTTTCGATGTATATTTATATAGGTCGCGCACTCATATTTTCATCAGCTAGACTTAGACCTGTAGATATTACGACCTATAGCCATTTACTCGTTTCTTGCTATGCCTTTCTAGCCTTCCTCGTTGCCCTTGCCTTTTCTAGTTTCCTTTCCTAGCTGCCATTTTCAGCTGGCCGATTAACCGATTACAGCTGTTTATAGCTGTGATCTTAGTTGATCGGTACTGGGCTAGTTGTTGGTAGTTGGGTAGCCCTTTTCGTGCCTCCGTTAGCGTGCCTACGCTGCTCCTGTTCAGTGGCGACTACCCAGTAGCCCGAGCCTTACCTTAGCCTTAGGAGCGACCTTTTGCGACCGTTTTTGTAGTCATTAGGTTTAGGATTCGTCGATCAGGAGATTCCCTGTTTTTCAGTTGATTAGGAGCTGTTTTCGTGGCTCCAGAGCCGTTTTTTTTTCGTGGCTTTCGGATTGAGCCTTTTTAGGCCACAGCCTGAATTTTCAGGTGGCTGGATCAACAGGGAGGGCAGATAATCATGGCGACCATCAACAACCCACGCCCTCCCATCAGCTTTTGATTAGCTTTTGATTAGCTTATCTGAAAGCTCGTTCGCCGATTAGTGGATCTATCTTATCCTCGTTTCTTAATTGTCTCTTTTGAAGGAGCTATGCCCGTTTTACCTGGTTTCGCCTTCGTTTTTCACCAGTGCCTAGATGGCAGTTTTTTCTCGCCCTTAGTTGATCTGACCAAGTTACCGCTACTACCCCCCTTTTTATAACACGCGCTTGAAGGCATCCGTTCTTTACCGATCGATTTATTTCAATTACAAGAGGCTTGCCGATAGCTCCGATCGCCCTTGTTTTATCCCTGCCAGCCAGTTACGGCACCTGGGGAGGTCTCTCCTTGCCTCCCTAACCGATAGGTGCTACGATGCCCTCACAATAAGATACCGACAGACCTTATACCCACGAACCTGATCGGGGAACCTACCGATCAGCGCGATAGACCTATAGACGATACCGATACGAGATAGATACGATATTGAATAAGACAGCCCAGAAATAGTTATAGGATAGGAAACAGTTACAGGTTAATGCCTAGAGACCCCTCTTGTCGCCCTTACCGATATGTGGTTGGTAGGAAGAGCCAGAGCCCCTAGAACCACGTACAGGGGAGGGATCGAGGGTCAAGGGAAGCCCGGTAGATGCTACCGGACGAACAACGGTCATACGAGAACAGCTATACGAGTCAGAAACGAGTTATAGAAACGGGCATTGAACAGGATATATTAGTTAGTTTATAGGATTAGGAATTAGTTGAAAAGGATCGGCAAAAGACAGCCATGGACGAGAAGGACGGAGATTACGTTGCATCGTATGGGGATTGTTTCTTTCGTTTCTCACGGGAGCTACGCTTATTTTACCTGCCCGTTGTAGTTCCTGTTTCCTAACTGTTGATTCCTGTTGTTTCTTGATGGCCCTGATAGACCTGGCTCGCTCCCAGTTAATCAGGGTTAATCAGGAACAGGTTGATTAGGTCAGTTTACAGGTTACAGCTCCGCCAGCCCAGTTCTTGTTATTAGATCTTTCCTATTTCCTGTTAATCGTTAGTTAAACTGGCTCAGCTCCTAGTTGGTAGCGATTGAATAGGTTCGGGATTGATTAGGTTTAGGTTTAGGATCAGGCACGGTTGCAGTCACCCACCCCACCACCCACTTGTTGCTATTGCAATCGTTCCCAGTTGACCCTGTTTCTTCCTGACTTATCCTGTTAGCCTTTAATTAAACTGGCTAGCTTTTAGTTAATCAGGGTTAATCGGGATCAGGTTGATCAGGTTCAACAGGAACGAGAGCCACCGCACCTATTGTTATATAGGGAGTTTAATTGCTCCTTACGGATTAATTGAACTGGGGAGGCTGTAGTGGTGCGGTGGATCTAGGCCACGTAGCCTTTTCGATATGTATTTATATAGGTCGCGTACTCATATTTTCATCAGCCAGACTTAGACCTGTAGATATTACGACCTACAGCCATTCACTCGTTTCTTGCCATGCCTTTCTAGCCTTCCTCGTTACCCTTGCCTTTTCCAGTTTCCTTTCCCAGCTGCCGTTTTTAGCTGGCCGATCAACCGATTACAGCTGTTTACAGCTGTGATCTTGGTTGATCGGTACTGGGCCAGTTGTTGGCAGTTGGGTAGCCCTTTTCGTGCCTCCGTCAGCGTGCCCACGCTGCTCCTGTTCAATAAGCGAGTTAGGAGTTATATTAGGTAAGCGAGTAACTAAGGAAGAAGTAGAGAGCCATGTATAGGTGGCTCTCTATGTAATAAATACCTTAAATCGTAAGATTAAAAAATATATAAAGTATTAGTTATATAACTATAACTGATTTACCGATACATTAAAATAAGTACTAATTACTACTAAGTAATACTAATAAGTATAGCACAGTTATAACAGGTAGTTCGTATCTCTTTTATTTATTTTTTTGTCTCTTAAATAATTAATTAATTTACCTTCTTCTTTCTATATTTTGTTACTTCTAAAAGCAACCTTAGTATCTATGTAGCTCTTCCGATCTACGTAATAGTACTAATCATAAATAGTTTATGTAAATTATTAATATTTATATATGAATTCTTACATTTTTCATATTCTCTATAACAAATAAAGTTCGTAAACGTAAAAAATATCATTAAGTATAATTTTTATATTTTATAATTCTCTGGATGGGTTATTATTTTCAGTATAAATACTCAAAATGAACCTAAATTATTCTACTTTATAGAATAATTTAAACATTATTTTAAAAGCACGTACTGCTTACATACTACTTACATTATAATAATACTTTTATTTATTTTATAAAGCTTACCTTATAGATTTTTTTATTAACTTAAAGATCTTTAACAATACTTATTTTTTATAAAAAACGTCTCCTACTCCCTCTTTATATAATACTTTAACACTCTTATAAAGGCAATTATAAGATTCTTATATTTAACATTTCTGAAGCTACACTTTTCATCACAACATAGTTACGTGAACCTTTATAAATAACGTACTTTATAAAGTTAGGTATCTCTTTGCTCTCGTTTAACCGCCTTGCCTTTCCTACCTTGAATTCATCACCCACTTCAGCCAGCGATTTGCAACAGGTGACCAACCCGAAAGCCGCATTTAGTATTCCCTGTGTTCGTCAACTATAGCCGGAATCAACTTCTTAAAAAGGTCTGAAAGACAGCACTTTCGGTACAATCTTGCCAGGGATAACCGATCTCCCGGAATGACGTCTCTAGGTCTTGTACTTCGGCGTCGGGACATTGTATCCCTGTCAGGATCTTGCCCACGTCACTGCCGCCGTTTCGGTACTGGAATAGGCTGATGTTGTATCGGAGGCGTAATGTCGTTAGGAACTTCTCGAGAGCACCAGGGCGCTCCGGGAAGTTGAACATATACAGTCTCTCGTCCGGGACGCCGGATCGTCCGCCGACGAGATAGCGGATATGTGACTTGGCGAGCTCGTCGCCAGAGAGGTCCGTCGCCGTCATGCCCGCGCTATTGATTCGATCCACCAAGGCCTGCAGTTCTCGTACCCGCTCCGAGGCTGCACCGGTCAGTGATATGCCGATCAAGATGTTCGCTATCTCGCCCGTCGAGAAGCGGTAAGAAAACTCGGTTACGGCGTGCGGCATCACGTTGTTGATCAGCCCGAGGAATGAGCCCGGCTTTTCTGGAATGCTAACGCAGAGGAGCGCCTCCTTGCCCTCGCCGAGAGTTGCTCGCTCGGCTACGAAGCGAAGCCTGTCAAAATTCATGTTCGCGCCGCTCGTGATCGCTATCACGGATCGGTTCGGGTCGCTCGAAGGATTTGCTGCAACCCACTTCTTCAGGCCGGCGAGTGCTAGCGCGCCTGCGGGCTCTACGATAGAACGAGTGTCCTCAAATACGTCCTTGATGGCCGCGCAGGTCTCGTCCGTATTCACTTCGATAACATCGTCAATCACTTCCTGGCATATTCGGAAAGTCTCCTCGCCAACCGTTTTGACTGCTGCGCCGTCAGCGAACAGGCCAACCTCCTTGAGCACGACCCGACCTCCTTGCCGCAGAGACTGAGCCATGGCGTTGGCGTCCTCGGTCTCAACCCCGATGATCTTGACGTGCGGCGCAATGCGCTTGACGTAGACACCAATGCCAGCGATAAGGCCGCCGCCTCCGACACAGCAAAATATAGCCTCGAGCCTCTGGATGTTCGTCTGCCGCAGCAGCTCCATCCCTATTGTCCCCTGTCCGGCGATGACATACGGGTCGTCGAACGGCGGGATGTTGATCAGACCGTGTTGTTGTTCTAGCCTCGCGCACTCTTCCTTGGCAGCATCGAAATCTGCGCCATGAAGAACGACACAACCGCCTAGCCTGGACACATTTTTGTGTTTGATGCTCGGCGTCCCCGAGGGCATGACAATAGTCGCAGGTATCTTGAGCAACCTAGCCGAGTAGGCAACCCCCTGGGCGTGATTCCCCGCACTGCAAGCAACAACTCCCTTCCAGCTCTCCCCCTGATCGAGATGGGCCATCTTGTTGTAAGCCCCGCGCAGCTTAAAGCTGAACACGGGCTGCTCGTCCTCCCTCTTGAGCAGGACATTACATTCTAGTCGGTTCGACAGGTTTGTGGCAAGGGTTAACGAGGTCTCTTTGCATGCTTCGTATACTCTTGATGTGAGTATCAAGCGGAGGTACTGGACGGGGGAGGGGTTGGTTAATAATCGCTGGAATTAGGTAGCCGAACATGGTCTGGGGAAATGAGCATACATCAGGGTGCCCACTAGGCAAGATGAATTCGGTCGGCACGATCTGTCTGATCCTGTCTTGTCCGCGCCCAGATGGGGGCGATGGGGTTGTACTGTACTCGGTGAGAGATAGGCCAGCTATCGGAGGAGTGCGCGGTGCATGGCCATTGACACCATTTCTGACGTTGTTGATCTCCCCGCCGCCAATTGGCACGGCGGCTGGGCCTGGCATGATTTCCGGACTCGTGTCAAGGGGACTGGAAAGGCGAGAGATGCGACATAACTGAAGGGTGATGGCAGAGCGAGCGAGAGAGAGGGGGGAGGAAGAGAAAGCGACAGCTAAATGTTCACCTTTTCTCTGCGTTATCGTACCTACCTCTACCTAGTTATCGTATCTACCCCACCAGAACGGGATGACTATAAAGAGGGGGTACCTACAGCAAACAGCGGTTAGGTACCTATAAAGTGTCCTCGACCGCTTCTTATCAACAATATACCTAAACGCTTGTCCGGCACAGGAAGTTGATGATCAATAGGTAGGAATGGTATACAGAATTCTGAGCGTCGGCATAGGTATCTAATTGAATATCTAGGTCCCTAGGCAGGCAGTGAGTAGCCGGGTTAGCTACGAACCAGCCATCCCCTTATCTCCCCATCCCCCCCTTCGGTATGATAATATCCGCGGTAGGTATAACTGGGGCAAAACATGGCTTTAAGAACGATATGCGGCTACGAGGTACCCCAGGTCTACCCCACACACTGGCTACTAGTATAGCGGCGGATCACGTCCAGTTCCATGTCCAGTTCCATGCCGTACAAAGTGACGACCTTGCCGTCCCCATATTCCCCTACAAGTCTGCGATATCGTAACAACAAATCTAGACAGGCTCTCCTTTTCTTCGTAGCCCCCATCAAGCAAGTATGGCTGACCAAGCCGACCAAGCCGACTCTCTGCCCGCCGTTGACGAAAGCCACATTGCCGCCACCCGCGAGCGGCGAAACTCGCTCGAGCAGCACTTAAAACAACGTCCAGGTCGCTCCGAGCTCGTTGAAAGTATTATAGTCCTAGCCCTGGGACCTGAGCCGGCCCGTCTAATAGCTATATGCACTAGGAAACATCCTGCCTGCGTCCACCGCCGCTCCGGGCTTGCAGGAACGACAGAAGGAGGTGTGTCTTCTCCTCTCGTGCCCGTGAGAGTGCCTATCCGGGGAAAGATCCCGAGTGGGTTAACCGCCGTACCTGAATGTCTAGTTGGCGAAGCATATGCGTGCGGATTCTCTGAACGACAAGATCTCCCACCGGCCCCCTCCCGAGAAGCTGTTGGAGGACGGCGTGCTTCACGATGACCCCCGGTCGCCCGAGGAGAAGTACGCGGAGGCGATCGAAGACGAGTATGCCAAGCGGGAGGGTGGTGCCTAGGCAAAGCCGCCGAGTTTAGAAGATGTAGCCTATGGCGCAGTCATCGTCACCGCTTCTGTGGATGAAACTGGATACAAATATAGGCGTCGTGTGAGCGACACATTCCACCTCTTGGGAACTTCTCCGGGTATTCGCGAGGAGGACTTGTTTACCTGCATTTCTTATCGCGTTCGGCGACTAATGGGCCTCACAGCTAGCCCTCGAAGCCGCCTGTGCCCCTAGGTGATATACGCCGCGTTCCCTCCCTCCCACGCCGTAGTCAGATGCGGGTTGCTTCTGTCTTTCTTCGTCTTTCCCCTCTCCGTATTTCTTGCCCCCTCCCTCCGGGCAGGCACTCGGTAGCCGCGTAGATACATCATCGAGGCCGGCCCGGAATTTCGTATTTTAGGGCACCAACAGGATGCCCTGCCTCGGCGAGTAGACTAACCGGGCCGATTTAACGTAGAGCCGACTTGTGCCTCTTCTCCCAGCTGCTATTCATGCGGCAAAACTGGAGTCCATGGCGTGACTCGAATTGGCATTTTGGGCGACTGGATTCCCCGTTATCCCAGCAACCCGAGACCTTGACGCCCCGCTGCTATTCCACCACTGAGAGGAGAGGGAGATCCGGATCAGATGTATGGGCTGACGTTACACTCGGTCGTGAAGCGGCCGAAGCTCCACGCAAGCATCGAAGCTGATGCCTTGCGTCGTCGGCGGAGTCTTATTTGACTTGCGAGCAGGTCCAGATTCCGGGAAGCGGCGCGGCATGCTATAGGGCCGCATACTGGTCATGTTGTAGCGGCCCCGGGTGGTCTTATTTAGCCTGCCCTGATGCGATACGGGCGTCTACGATCTCGCATCTACGGTTCCCTGCCACCACCGCCGTAACTCGCTGGCTTTGTCCGAGCAAAGGTGCCCTATATATAAGGCCCCGTGGTTGTCCATAGATGTTGCCATTGCCGGTACCTCTTAGCCCGGGCATGTTTTAGCAATTCCCGTACGGCCACATCATCTGTTGCCGACATGGTGTTCTCAAAATCGATCCTGGGGCTTAGCGCCTTGACCTCCTTGGTCTCTACATGTGCTTGCGTTGATATCATTGTTAGTTCGACTGGTGGGAACGTGACGAATGGCCACCAGTATGGATTCCTACACGAGGTATGCTATGTGATAATGCGCAATCCCGCATTCTCCTATTCGATCTAGGTACCATACAGATCGGCTTACTCAACCAGGATATCAATTACTCGGGCGACGGCGGCCTCTACGCTGAGCTGATCCGCAACCGGGCCTTTCAATCCAGTCAACGCTTTCCTGCCACACTGGAGGGGTGGCATCCGATCAACGACGCCAAACTGTCGCTGAAGAACCTCACCGTGCCACTGTCCGAGAGCCTAACCACCTCAATGAATGTCGCCACTACTACTGGACAGGGCAACCTAGGCTTCTACAACGATGGATATTGGGGAATAGACGTCAAGGCCAGCAATACGTATCGCGGATCATTCTGGGTCAAGGGCGCCTATGCCAGTCGATCTTTTGTCGTTTCGCTACAGTCTCGGACTACAGGCGAGTTGCATGTGGCCGCAGAAGTCGAATCGAGATCGGTTTCCAGCCAGTGGACGGAGCACAAGTTTGAGCTAACACCGCTTAGAGACGCGCCGGACGCCAACAACACCTTCGCTGTTGTATTTGACGCCTCAGTGAGTAGGGAATTCAATTCGATTTCCTAGTTAGCCCTGGCCTACCAGGCCGCCTGGAATATGTACCTACAGCTAGTCTGATCTTGCCGTTCACCAGGGCGCGGAGGAAGGCTCTCTTGATTTCAACTTGATTAGCCTATTTCCCCCTACGTATAAGGGTCGACAGAATGGTATGCGAGTCGACATCGCCGAAGCACTGGAACAGCTACACCCGGTAACCCCCCACTTACCAGACAATGTTGCTCGCAATCGAGTGCTGACCTGTGAAAAGACTCTTATCCGCATACCGGGAGGAAATAGTGAGTCTTGAGTCAGCCTTCCGGCCCTGTTCCTACGGTCGTATGCAGGGTTGAAAGATGACGACGCCGCGGTGCACCCTTTCCTACCCCTATCATTCTCCTGCACCGTGGGCAATACCTCCGTCCACCATGGCATTTCGATCTCCGGATGCTCACATTAAATCTCGCAGTGCTCGAAGGATCGACTAAGAACTCATGGTGGGATTGGAAAAACACCATCGGTTCCCTAAGGAACCGACCGGGGTTTCCGGGCGTGTGGGGCTACCAGCAAACGAATGGCCTGGGTCTGGTGGAGTATCTGGAGTTTGCGGAGGACCTTGAGATGGAAATCGGTCAGTCTGAACTCATCCCCTTACCCGAGCTATTTATTCAAGCCTGTATTCCGGCGTCTCTCCCTCGCTCACACAGCGGTAGTTCTCGCTGTTTACGGCGGTCTGTCCCTCAACGGGGACACCGTACCAAAGGACCAGTTGCAGGGCTTTATCGACGACGCGCTGGACCAGATCGAATTCGTCCGTGGGCCGGTGGATTCGAAATGGGGTGCTATTCGTGCAGAGCTAGGCCACCCAGAGCCGTGGAAACTTCGGTATGTTGAAATCGGGAACGAGGACTGGCTTGCTGGAGCGCCTGGGGGATGGCAGACATATAAGGACTATCGGTTTCCCATGTTTCTCGAGGCCATAAACGACGCGTATCCCGATATCCAAGTCATTTCTTCGGGGTCGGTATTCGACGGTTACGACATCCCTCAACCTGGAGCCGGGGACTATCATATATATGCAGAGCCGGACACACTCGTTGCCGAGTTTGGGAAATTTGACAACACCAACATATCCCATATCATCGGCGAAATGGCCGCCATCCACCCAAACGGCGGCAGCGGTTGGAACGGCCCACAGATGCCATTTCCCTGGTAGGTGTCGGCTTGCTTCAGCCCAATGCTAGACGAGGGATATGTTATCGGCGTCTGCTAATCCGGAGTCGTGTTGCTAGGTGGGGGGGCGCCGTCGGAGAGGCTGTCGCGCTGATCAGCTACGAACGTAACCAGGATAGAATCATCGGGGCGGCATATGTACGTGCGTTCTTTTTATCTTGGACCCGGAGATCATCATCGATCTTGCAGTTGCTTGGAGCGCTGACAAAGTAAACGGAAATTTTCATAGGCGCCAATCATTCGAAATCGTAGGTGCACCGGGTTTGGCTTTCTTTCGAAACACCTCCGCCCTCCCCCCCCCTCTCGGTTTGGTGTCCTCCCCCTCAGGCACGAGTCACTAACCTCGCGGCCCGTAGTGAACCGTTGGCAGTGGGAGATAACCATGATACAATTTACTGCCGACACGGTTATTCGGTCGACGTCTTGGTATGTCTGGGAGGTAAGCTTGCTCCGCCTTTAAAGTGTATCCGCATCCCGGGCCGATTAGAATCGGGTTCTGATTTGCGTACGCAGCTCATAGCAGACCATATCATGACAGAGACCCTGCCCGCGAGCTCTGACTTTGACCCGCTCTACTACGTCGCGGGTAGGAATAATAAAACGGGCGACTATATATTTAAAGCGGCCGTGTATAACTCGACGGGCGGCGCCGACGTCCCCATCAAGCTCGCATTCGAGGGTATCGAGCCGGGAGCAACGGCGAAGTTGACTGTCCTGACAGGGCCCGAGAACCCGTATGGCATCAACGATCCCTCCACCGGCGTAAACGTCGTGAAGACAAACAGGACGACCGTCCGGGCAGGCGAGAGCGGTAGCTTCGAATTTTCATTGCCCGACTTGAGCGTCGCAGTCTTGGAGACGAGATCGCCTTAGATTCGGCCGTCAGAGCAGCAGCGGGGGGAGGGGGATGAGGTGGGAGAGCCGGCGACGAAGCAGCCCAGAGCCGTTTGCTGGGCCGTGACTGGAGAAAGGTATGTCTATGCGCTGGGCACGCGCGTCTCGAAGCGTCAAGACGTCGGCCCTGTTTTGTATAGTAAAACTCTGTATGAGAGACGAAGCTGGGTAGATATCTGTACTTAGATGACCCCAGCCTGCAAAGCTGCGCCTCATTGAGGGGTGATCGAGGGGTGTGTGTGGAGGGACCTCGCCTCCCTCCCCGCGTTCTCCCACCGCAGGTAAAAGGACGATCAGGTTACCTAGATAGGCAAGTACCTATATAGACATGCCTATGCTGCTCCTCGACTCGGAACCTGTTGCGAACGCGCTCAGCGGTAGGTAGAATTGCTGGATTGACCAAACCAAGGGGTTTTTTTCTACCTAGCAGGTTGAGCAAGACGATCATACAGACCTGTTGCACTGCCGAGACGCCAAGAACGCGACACTTATCCAAAGGCTAACCTACCTTATATGCACCTAAATGAATAGACTTTTTACAGTACATAAATATATAAGTTATTTAAAACTTTTAATAATAATTCTAGTTAATATATATAAGATTTAATAGTATCATTAACTACCTTAAATAAAAATATTATTTAGTTTTCTTTTAATTTAATAAAAATATAAAATTATATTATACTATAAAATTATATATATATATATATATATTTAACATTATCTGACTTATTAATATCACAGTCTGCCAGAGCCGTGTTCATTTAACGAAGTTAGTATTTATTTAATTAGTAGTAGCTCCTAAGCGACACTACTAGGTATGCACCTATGACACTTTTCATACGGTGGTTAACGCGACAGCAAATACCCTAAAACAGAGCGGCAGCCAAGCTGTCGATGTTCCCCTTTCTTGGTGTAGTCGGCATCCCTATATGTATCATGCCTATACAGGCATGTATAGGGCATATATAACCCCCCCCCTCCCTCTATATACCTACCTACGTACCCATGCCGTTTCAAAGTTCCCATCTCGTTTCTTTCTCTCCTCCGTACTCCTATCCGCCGTAGGCTCGGTCCCTATATCTGCACAGCATACGCCCATACACGCCTCGCACGCCGTGGCGGCTATACACTATTGCTAAGTGAGGTCGGAGTACTGGCCGGTATTGTCACCTTAACCGGGCGTCCCATTTGAGGAACTGACTATGTCTATCCCGTCTGCTGTCGCCCGATGCGACGACAGGAGGGGCGAGCAGCCGAACAAATCGGCGTGGCTTCAATTCATCAAGGTGCCACGTCTCCCCATCGTCTCTCCTCCGCCGCCGTAGCGGTCCGCTGAATCGCGCTGCTAACCAAGCTCCCGCCCGCACTTTAAGTCTATCGCTACCTTCAAGGGAGATCTCACTGCCTTAACCGCGCCGCCATTTCTACTCGCGCCGCAATCCATCGTGGAATACAGCACGTACTGGGCTGAACATCCGAGCCTGTTCGTGTCGCCTGCGAAGGAGAGCTGTGCGGATAAGAGAGCTTTGCGCGTTCTCCAGTGGTTTCTAAGTACGCTCAAGCATCAGCATGCGGGAAAGGACGAGAATGGGAAAAGAAAAAGGATGAAGCCTCTCAACCCATTCCTCGGTGAGATATTTCTGGGCAAGTGGCAGGACCACTCGGGGACCACGCATCTCGTGAGCGAGCAGGTCAGCCATCATCCGCCAGCGACCGCGTTCAGGGTCTGGAACGACACTCATGGTATCAAGGTAATAGAGGAAGAGGAGAAGAACTCCTCCCCTCCCTCCCCTTCCCTACGTCCTGGGCGGGTCGCTAACCAGAGACCAGCTCGAAGGGCACGTAGCGCCCAAAGCCTACTTCTCGTCCACGGTAAATATAGACCGGAAAGGGTACAGCATTATGCACATCGACGAGTACGAGGAAGACCACTGGATCACGATGCCCAAGGTCCACGTCGAAGGCCTCATGACTTTCCAGATTGCCCCCGAGCTTAGCGGAGTGTCATACATTCGCGGCTCGTCGGGCTACACGTCACGTGTCCACTACTCAAGTAAAGGGTGGCTGAGGGGCAAGAGCAACTCGTTTGTCGCGACCCTCTACTTGGACCACGACGAAGAAAATCCTCTATACGTTCTAGAAGGCCAGTGGAGTCACGCATACACCATTAGGACCGGGATGGGCGAGCTGCTCGAGACGATAGATTTGTCATCGTTGCAGAGGACGCCTCTTCAGGTCGACCCTGTGGGACTGCAGCATCCCCTTGAGTCAAGGCGCGCGTGGAAGCGTGTTGTCGACGCGATAAACTCGGGCGATTTCTTCACCGCGAGTCAGGAAAAGAGCAAGATCGAGAATGCGCAGCGCGCGTTGAGAAAACTCGAGAGGGACACCGGCGAAACGTGGCGGAGACGCTATTTTTCGCAGGCGTGTGAGGACCCTGTAGCAGAGAAACTGTCGATAAAAAGTAGGGCTGGAGAAGCAGACGGACACGACAGGATGATTTGGAAGTTCGACGAGAAGAAGTTCAGCAAGATCGTAGAGGCTCAGCGTAACGGCATCAAGAGCCCCACACACGATCGGTTCGAATTAGGCGTCGAGTTCGTGGGCGTGGAAACGTAAAGAGAGCGGTTCCCTACCTGTCCAGGTCGAAGTAATCGCATCCATGCGAGTCTATGGAACCTGTCATATAGATATCATCCTCTCTTAGGTAGGTATATTAGAGAGAATATTGGGGGCTTGCGAAGACTATATCAATGCCAGGCTAACCAGGTTAGACGACGGGGCTGCAACGCTGGGAAGGAAACTTCCTACAAGCTGATGACGAACAGAGAATTCCGTGACAGACCGACTGTCAGCTCCCCAAACCTGCCCGCGTAGTTCGCCGCCGGCGCCGACGCAAGTCTTGGGGGAACGCCAGGTAGAGGCAGCATTTCTGCTACAAGAACCACCTGAACTCGTCCACCTCCGGGCCGTATCTCAATCGCGAGGTCGGGACATCCTTCGCAGACAGTTCCACGCCCTGGCGAAGGTTGCGGCGCCGGTTATCTAAGAGCATGAATAGCCCTAGGCATCCCGCGACAAGGCACCCGGTAGCGCCAAAGCATGCCGTCGTAATGAGGGCGGGTGCGTACTTGGGCGCATCTTTTTCCTGGAAGAGATAGCTGGCAACCAACCCCATCAAGTTCGCCAGGGGAACTCCCACGGATGTCAACGTCAGGCGCTCGCCCTCGTGCGCGACGTTGTTATTATACCACTGGCGAGAGGAGCACTTTAGCCCGGCACGTAAAGGAAAGGAGGGGAGGGGAAGGGGAGAGAGAAGAAAAAGAGAGAGCCTCTGGAACCGATCCGCACTTGGGGGCTACACTTTTGCGCGAGTCGACTTACAGTGCTCAGGAGAACTGAAGGGGCGGAGGTGCCCCAGCACATCATGAACGTCGCAAAGTACGCGACGCGTATTTGGGCATGGACGTCCTGGATCGCGGCATAGATGATGAATCCGATGAAGGTGAACGCGAAGCCGAGGCATACAAAAGGAAATCGAACCCGCGTGTAGTCGGACGCGAAGGCGAGAACCAGCAGCATTACCGCACCCTGCTAAGCCGTTAGAAAGAGACAGAATTTCGATCGGAGCCGGATAGGCCCAGAGCACTTACGGTGACATTGGGGGCGACGGTATACAGATTGATCATGACGGCGCTGTCAACAAGCCTCTGGACAATCTGAGGCAGAAATAGCGCTACCCCTTGCAAGGGTACGCCGAGGCATATCTCGATAGCGAGGAAGCCGTATGTGACGGGACGCCTAAATATCCTGAGCGACTCTCTCAGCGCGAATTTCTCGTTGACGACGGAAGAGCTGTCGACCTGTATACGGTGATACGCGAGTGCTTTCTCCCGCTCGTCCAAGAACCAGGCCTCGGCTGCGCTCAGCGGTAGGTAGAAGAAGGCAAAGATGGAAAAAAACACGGTGAGACTGCCTTCGACGATAAATAGCCAGCGCCACGGATGATCGACGAGCGTCGACCTGATCTGGAACAGCCCGAAGGCGAGAAGCCCGCTGAAGGCGTTGGCGATATTGGAGGCGGCGTAGAAGATAGCTAGCCGACGGGCCAGCTCTCCGCGCCGATAGAAGGTAGTCAGGTAATAGATGACCAGCGGGAAGAAGCACGACTCGGCCATCCCGAGGAACCAGCGGAGGGCAAAAATACCGCTGTAGTTCTTGGCCGCGGCGGTAAGCAGCGTGAACGAGCCGAAGCAGAACATCAAGACGGGTAGGACACGAGCCGGGCCAAATTTCTTCCCAACCATGGCCAGGGGCGGGGCGAAGACGACGAAGGGGACGAAGAATATTCCTACGATCTGGTTGTACTGCCCGGGCTCGAAGTGCAAGTCTGGAATTGGCGAGGAAGCGCGCGGCGTTTAGCGACAGGGCGAAGACTGGGACGTTGGGGGGTGAGAGGGGGAGGGAGTCAATGGCTCACCTCTAGAGAGCCCTGCGGTCTGCGCGTTCCCGAGATTCCCCTTGTCGAGGCTGTTGAACAGATACTTATCGGCAGACCATTAGTTTTCTCTCCGAAGCCAAGAAGAAGAAGAAGAAGAAGAAGAAGAAGAAGAAGAAGAAGAAGAAGAAGAAGAAGAAGAAGAAGAAGAAGAAGAAGAAGAAGAAGAAGAAGAAGAAGAAGAAGAAGAAAAGCGACCCTGATCTGCTGCGCAGCTGGACACAGAGCAGGCGGAAGGTCCGTGTGCGCAGTGGCGAGGGGGACGTAGGAGTTTTGCGGCTCGTCTCCAGCGCCTCGACTTACCATCACAGCCAGGACAGGCAGCAGGCGGAAGTCAAACTTGCGGCAGAGCGCCCTCTCGGCGACGCCGTCGATATCGCCTGCCGCCAGTTCGTCGGACAGGACGCCACGGCTGCTCTCGGCATCGTTGACGTCCTTTGGGTTCGGGATGGGATGCTTGTGGGTCGAGCCGGAATCTGGGCCCAGGACGGGGTCAACATTCGCCATCGCGGCGGTGGGGGATAGCGATATCAGAGGGGCGTAAGCAACGTGGTAGCGAGGCGGCGTACGGGCGCGGGCGCGGGAGCGGGAGTGAGAGCGAGCGTTGAAAAATACACAGGCAGAGAGAGTCGAGACAGCGCGGGGGAGGAGGGAGGGGCGGGAGTGTCGATCTCAGACGTCCGGCCCAAGGGCTATACGTCGTGTGTGCGTGTGTGTGGGTAGTTGTTGGTGGTGTTGTAGTTGCGCATTCCTCTCCTCCGCAGGCCCTCCCTCTGCAGACTCCGACAAGTAGGTAAGAGAGATGGGAACCATCCAAACGAAGGCGACGAGGATCTCTCTCTAGCCTTCCCATGGGACGCCGCCTTCGGTGCCATTATCTGGATGTCTCACCTGCCCCCTGGCCGGGCGGGCATTCTCTGATGGAGGCAGAGATAAGGATGGCCAGATGTCGGCCTCAGGCAGTACCTTAGGTACCTGCGTATGGAGGTACCTCTGGTGTAGAGGTAGGTGCCTGTATCTTCTAGCCCGACGTACTTTACGTTGGGGACCTTAGGTTAGGAGGTACCTGCCTACAGGGTGCCATACCCAGTAGATACCTACCTGTAGTGGTTGGGTAGGTACCTTTGGTACCTAATATACAGGGAGGCACGTAGGCGTGTACCTACCTGTAGGCATGTACGTGTATATACCTACCAGGTACCTAAGCCAGGTAGGTACCTCTAACCAGGCGCCTGCGATGGAACCCTGGAGGGCTTCGATCCCTGGCCCCGCCCCGCCCCGCCCCGGTCCGGTCTGGTCTCCGGGGGGCGGATTGGCCAGCGATAGCCCCGAGACGCGGCGCAGGTCTCCCTCCTCTCCCTCCCTCCTTTCCCCCCCTCTCTATCTCCTGTCTCTCCCTCCCTCTGTCTCCTCTCTCCACACACACACACACACACACACAGAGAGAGAGAGAGAGAGAGAGAGACGGGCACTTCTCGGTTAGAGGCGGCGGCGAGGTTCAGGGAAGAAGAGTCGGGCCGGTAGCAGCGGCACACAATCGTCCGACTTATCGGGTCTGCGTGACGCCCTCGCACGTAGGTACAGGTAACCCCGCCGCCTCCGCTGCTCTTCACACATACCTATACCGACTCCTCCATACTACCCCTGCGGTTCGAATCCCTGGAACGGCTTTGCACTTTTCTCCACCCCCTTCACCCTATCTACGCCTCCAGTCGCCGAACACAGCCCATACGATGTCTACCAAGACTGCCGTCCTTACCGACAAGGCGCCGAAACCTTTGCCCGGAATATACAGCCAGGCCATCAAGGCAAATGGCTTCGTCTTCGTCTCGGGCGCTGTCCCCATGGACCCCAGCACCATGGAGATTGCCAGCGGCGACATAAAGGAACACACTGTGAGTACCTAACAACTAGTTGCGCCCTCGGGCTTGGCCGGTGAGACGGCGTAGGAGAGGTAAAGAGGGGAAATAAAGGGTACCTGCTGACGGCAACCCTTCCGCCACAGCGCCAATGCATCAAGAACCTCGCTGCCATCCTGGAAGCCTCCGGCTCTGACCTGACCAAGGTCGTGAAGGTCAACGTCTTCCTCTCCAATATGGACGATTTCGCCGCCATGAACGAGGTCTACTGTCAATACTGGGGTGATGTGAAACCCTGTAGGACGTGAGTGATCCGTGGTGCCCGGCACAACTGCTGGTCTCTCGCGCCGTCGACTCGAGTCGCTAATTGTGCGCAGCTGCGTCGCTGTGAAGACGCTACCACTGGATGTCGATGTAGAGATCGAGTGCACTGCTATCTATTAGACTGCGTGGGGGCTATGGGCTGCACGATGCTGCTGCGGCGAAGTGCGGCCGGTTCCCCCTTGGAGAGCGAGGGAGTGGTCGTGTCTCTGCTTCGCATGCCTCCGTCCAGAGCCTACCGTTGCCGACAGACAGACAGACCGAGCAAAATAGAACGGGTTAGCTAATAATCTACTGAAATGTGCGGACTCGCGAGAATGAAGTCTAGCCTAGAAGTAATGGCCAAAGTAAACTGATGAGGCTTGACGGAGACTAGCAGACAAACCGTATTAATAGGTATACCTAGGTATAGGTCGATTGTTGCTTATCACGCGCAGTGTGGGATTAGGGCGGGGTGCCATCATGCGAAGATACACCGATGTCTTACTTGCGGATCCTATGTAATAAATTTCAAGAATGCTCTGTGCGGGAGGAAGGCCATCGCTCGTTCGTGCCATACGATTCCGTCCCGTGGGGAAAGGGGGTAGGTAATACCGATACGACCCCCGGCCGGGTGATCATCGTCGATATCAACCCCGTTGAGTACGAGAAGGGGTTCCAGCTCACTGCAGACGACAGAGGACTACCGAATACGGGAGAATGAAATATATACTCACATATATATGATCGCATACATATGTGTGTGTGTGTCACGTACGGAATCCGCCCTTAATATAAGCCTACATTTGCAAGCCGCTAATAGCTGATAGATTCGTCGATGATTTTACCATGTCCTACGCGCTCGTATAAGCTTACGCGATAATCACTCTAAATAGGCCGATGATAGCTGGCCATAGCATAGTTACCTACGCGGGCCTCCAAATAGGACGTGTCTCTCGGCACTACTGTGATAGGTATGTATATGCTGATCAGGCCGGGCAGGTCCCGCGAAAGGCAACTTGGCCGTAGGCACTCGACTTTTCTCGCCCCTAAAGGCTCGTTTTACGAGAAGCCGTCGCAACAGCAGGCCCCCCAGAGAGCCGAGGTAGTGGCTAGGCTGCTAAGCCTGGCGGCCATCGTCAGCTCGATTGCCGACGAATGGTCGGCCTGGAATCGCGAGCGCCTTCGATCGTAAGGGTGCCGCCGTACCTATAATTCCTATAGCCGCACCTGTACGCCTGAAGCGTATACACACGCACACACCCGTATCTACAGATATAAACATGTGTGTGTCCACGTCTCTTTAGATGTGTATATATATATCGGGCCCCTCACCCTCTACAGGTTCAGGTTTCGTCGATTCAAAACCAGCAAGCCCATCCCAAGAAGTGCTGGTTCGTCTAGCCATTTCCCCTATACAGATAGATATACTATATCTATTTACCCGCTCGCCCGCCCTTGTCACGGCCTGAACGATACTAGGCTTAACTTCAAGCAGATACAATCCCATCTTGCCTGCCATAATTTCCGCCTCTCAGCATGCAGCTGACTCCACTCTCGTCTCCGGACGTGCACACTGGCGGCCCTCCTCGGTAGTATATCCTTCCCAGGAGCGTATGGGCGGATGAAGGTCAGCAGTTTCGACGGCAGCGTCACCAAGGAGGGGTTGCAGTCCTTCAACGACTTCGCCGCTACGCTACGCCCCGGCGAGAGCAACCTCGGCAACGAATGGGCGCAGGGGCATAGCGGAGAGCATACCAAGGCGATGGGTCTGGTGTACCAGCTGGTCGGACAGCAAGCCACTCTCGATCAGATGCTTCGCTTCTGCGATGCCGTCCTGTCGCAGAGGAACGATCTGACCAAGTCACCGATGGGCCAGCATAAAGTCTGGACCGGAAGAATCGACCCGGCATGGCCAAACAACGTCACCGCGAACCCCATCGTGACTGGCGGGGAGCAAGGGGATCCGGTTGAGCACCTGGCCAACTGTGCCTACCTCATCCTGAAGACGGGGAGCCTCCGTAGCCAAAAGGTTACCATCGGTGACCCTCACCGATACGGCGCCACCTATATGGACCGAGCCAAGACCTATCTCCAGGAGGCGGATTTTGCCATAAGCAACCACATCCTCAGCTCCTTGTTAGATCTCTCAGGTGGGAACAAGATGTACTTCGCCAAGGACTCGCCCTATATGGGTGGGAAGCCGGTTCCCTGGAACCAGCAGATGATGTTCAACTATGCCTTCATGAACCTGTGCGGCGCGCACAGGATCCTCAAGGACAACCCTAAATTGCTGGTCAAGTACAAATCCATCGTTGTTACGAGCCTTGACTAGTTCTTCGACGGCGGCGGAGTGCAGACCAAGAGGAGCAGTAAGGGAAACCCCATATACAACTGGGGCTACGCCGTGCCGAAGACCAGCGGGGGGGGGGGGGGGTTCGAACCACGGGTCGCTCGACGTCGCCGGCTTCTACCGCGCTTACATCGACGGCAACTACGCTATCACGGCCGACAGGATGAAGCCGTTCGCCAACACTTTCGTCGACGTCATGACGCTAGGGGATAAGAAGTGGGCAGGGAGAGTGAACGGCGAGTCCGCCAGGGGCCATGCTTCGTCTACCCTACACCGAGAGCGGTTATCGGTACCCGCCTGTCAATATGTCCGTATTATCGATTTGTCGTGTCTCACGACTCCGTCGAGGGTGGACAGCCTAGCTATGTAGCTCCCTATTCGATAAGAATAAATATCTTGCCCAAGAAGGTGTATGGCCACAATATCATTCCCCGTCCTGTATCCCACGTGAGAGGTGATGAGTCCCCCATTTCCTGTAGGCCCTGCCACATGGAGAGACAATGCCCTTATAAGATTTTAGGTCCTGGCTGAGCAGATGGATCTATCGCCCCCCTGAACATTCTCTCATCAGCAACCTGATCCGCATAGCGTCATGGGAGCTACCAGAGGGGGAAACCTTTCTCGGATAGGAGAGGAGCCATGATGGATATACAACCTCTCGCCCCTGAGTACTTCCTAGTGCACAGTGGTTTATGGTTGACCTTAGTATCGCTACTCCCCGCCCTAATATATTGATCGAGGGATTTAACGTGGCCGGCAAGTTACGATCCAAGAGGGACGAGTCGGATGTAGGGATACAAGCCGTCGTTGCGGCTGATAGGTCGATTACGACAAGTGACAATCGCGATCTAGTGTATGCGGCATATTCGATGTCCTTCGGTCTTGGGGGGGGTTAGAGGAAGCTAAGAAGTAGGGTTATATTCCCGAGCGCGGTCCTGCCCTTGCCCACTCCCTGGGGAGGCCGGTTATGTGCCTCTGGGCGGGCAGCACGAGACGAATGGTAAACGAGCGCCGAAGAACAGACAGGACCAGAGGTAACTTGGGCGCATCCCTAAGGCGGGCACGCTCGTTCTAGCAACCTTGGACGACTTTGCTGAGAATGACATAGTCGGGAGTGAATTCCTTACCGAACCGGAGCTTCCTCGGCTCCGGTGAGATCTTATCCTTCTCGAAGCCGAACTTCTGGTAGAAGTGAAGAGCCCGCTCGTTGCTCAGAAAGCAAGTTAGCATAACTTTCCTGATGGGAGGCGTGTTGGCTGCAATGCTCTCTAGAAAGCCCAAGAGCACCGTGCTGAGGCCGGTCCTGAAGCGAGCGTGTGGGGATTAGCAAAGTAGGAGGATGGGCGATGGAGCTGGCGGAGGGATACCGCACCCTCGCAACTCGGGCTTGAGGTGGACTTCGTAGCAATAGATAACTGGCTCCCCTTCTTCGTACGTGGGCATCAGCGACGTAAAGCCACGAATGACCCCCGCAGCAGTCTTGACTACGATATACCTCAACTCGGGAGATTTCATCTCGGCCAATTTCTTGCTTGGCCTCCACCCGGTTGCAGAGGCCTCATAATCGGCGCGGCTGGTCTCTTCAACTAGACTATAGCAAGCGCCGAGGTCCTCAGCACTCATGGATGCCGATCGGAACAGATTGACTGAGAACTTTTCCTGGGTGGTCGGGTTGGTCCACTCGGTCCACTCGGGCGTGCTGGCATTATCAGCGGGTTAACCGTCGGTTCGACATCCCCGTGAGGCATGGCAGGGATGGTTAGTATACCTAGGGCATAGGTGGTCCTTGATGAAGGTCTCGTCCTCCTTTCGATTCACTTCCTCAATAGGGTCGACCACAGCTTGTCTGCGCTTCCCGCTCCGTTTGAGGGTGGCCATGGTGGTCGGACCCTTAACTCTTCAGATAAGGAGTAGAGAGGTTCTAACCAGGGCAGCGATACGAGTTGATATACCTATCCGTTACGCTTCTAGTGTAAGCACTGGGTAAAGACATAGAAACCTCTTTACAGGCAAAGGAAAAAGAGATGAGAAAGCATACCTAAGTAATTTTAAATAACTAATTAATATTAGCTATTATTTTTAATTTAAACTTTGTATTCTATATAATTAAGTTTATTATATATTTATTATATTAAGTTAAAATGGTTAATAAAATTTTTTAAACCCTAAAAATAGTATAAAGAAAGTCTTTTAAAATAAACTCTGTTTTAAAAAAGTTTAAAATATTTATATTAAAATATTACTATATAGTAATTAAACTAGCTCTTATATGCCTATATACCACATAGTATAATGTAGATGTTTACGTTTTACATAATAAATAATTAAAAGTTATAATGAACTTTAAAATAGCATGAAATATTAAACTATGAGCTGTTACTTGACAACCTTGTTTATTTCGTAGTTTTATTATAAAATATGAACAATGTAAAGGTGGGTATATAAGTCACTCTCCCGAAACCCGGTTTCTGCGCCTCGGCAACCCTAACTCGCTCTCTGTTCGAAGCAGGATGAAGGCATCGTCTGCTATCGCGATCCGAGCCTATGGAACAAATCTACCCAAGAGCAGTCTCGGTGCAACGCTGAGCTTAGATCACGTATGTCTAGCCCGCCTCCGTTCCTAGGACACAACATCACCTACCGTAGCTACGCCGACGGTCTTCCAAGCTGATCGCAACCGCCAGTTCATTTTGCGCTCGAGCGTTCTCTCTCTCTACCGAAGAGTCTTACGGGGCACGAGGCGGATTAGCGACCGGGCGACCCGCGTCGAGGCGCGCAACTATGCACGGTCTGAACTGGAGCGGCATCGCGGCGTCAGCGATGCAGCCCATATACGCTTTCTCTTATCAACCGGCAGGACAGAGTGGGAGAACATGGAGAGGTATATTGGTGGAATATGACGTGAAATAGCTCGAGGTGGTACTCCTCCAGGTTGAGACGGGTCTCGGAAGCTAACGGCAATTCCTTGGTTGGCGTGCCATCCCTTTCTTTTGCTTCACCGATCTCTACCCCGGATTAACCCTGGCGCTGTTTGTGCCTCGGATTCGCGCTGCAGACGATATACAGGTAACCGCGATGCCGCTTACCGGCCTTTCTCCTTACGACCTATAATGGCAGGGTAGTTAGTGCACTGAGCTTAGCCAGGATCACCGTGCCTGTGGTATGTTTGTAGCTGTATTTCTTGACAATAGCCCGAGCGGCAGGTGGTAGGATAGAGGAGGCGAAGCTGGCTCAGCCCTAGACTGACCTTGCAGTGCTCGCATCGTTTCTTGACCGAACTGTGAACTTTCATGCCTCTCGTCTGTTGCTGCTGTCGCGCGAGACGCTGCCATAATCCTGGCGCATATATGGCCGTTGCCGGGCTCGTCGCCGTGGGCCGTGGCACGCATGAGGCGATAATCATCTGGGAGAGGTGGCGGGTGTGCTGCTGCGCTCGCGTGACGGATCGGGCGGCGAGAGTCGGACGGAAGGCCAGCAGCAGTCGGAGCGAGGGGAGAGACGGGCACGCCATGGTTGCGAGAGCGGGCGGATCCCACGCCAGCAAATATTCAAGTTCCGCGATGGCTAGTGATAGAATCCGGGAACGATTGCAATCTTGATAGTACTGGTGGTTGTATGAACGAAGTTTTAGAGATTCTGTCTCGAAGGAGATAAGGCGCCGAGTCAAAACCAGGTCTTGGCGCTGCGATTCACAGCAAACGTCACATAATATAAATAATACATAAACATAAGTAAATTAAAATACTAATAAAGAGATAATAATGAAGATATAACTATAATATTACTACTGATACTATCTATATGATAATATAAATATATAGTATGAATTTTTTATAAAATAATAAAATGTAAACTTAATATTATAAATATAAACTTGCTTTACTTTTAATTATTAGTTAACCTCTTTACGTAAAGTACTAATTCTTACCGCTAGTGTATATATATGCTAGCGGGAAGGATGCTAGCAGAGAGTGTAGGAGATACGGAAGCTTATATCTACACTAAGGAAAACCCCATTTTTGGGATAGGTAAACCCTCATGTAGGAAAGGGTATAGTTAGCACATATAAAATATACAATTAAGCAGCTATGCGCTCGTACCTTTGTACGGCGTTCGGTACATAGTTGCTATATTGAAAAGATTTTAATTAATATAAAGGTATGTATTCTTTATATAGAAATAAATAAATATCTTATTAATAAGGTACGTATTTATATATTAATAAAAATAAAGACATTTATTTTATTTTATTTTCTATTTTTTAACTTATTATATAATAAATAAATAGATTTAAATAGAATAAAAATATTTTACTTATAATTTAAGAAAAAGTATTCATATAATAAAATTTAATAAAATTAATTTTATTAAAAAAGTTTATATTATAGGTTATAATTTAAAAATCTTTTAAAAAGAAATATTAATAATTTAATTTATTTAATATATATATTTATATATTTATAAATTTATATATTTATATATTATAGTAATATAATAAAATATATTCTTTTTATATTTTATATTATATACTATAATAAGCTTTATATATATTAAGGAGGAGCAGAGCGTACGCGATACTAGAAACCCAGATAGGTTTACTCGAAGATATACTCTATCGAAGATTATAATACGTACGATGATCTAAGATAGATAAAACTAATACCGCTATACTAATCGAGAAACAAGGAATCTAATATAGTTATCGTATCTTAGCTATGCTCCTTAGTCGTAAAGATATAATAGTCGCTAGCCCGAAGGTATAAGAAGTAAGGAGAGAAAAGGGGTAAAACGTAAAAGTTACTTATTCTACTATAGCGGTACGACGAAGTAACTTAAGCGCCTATAATTAAAATAAATATTGAACAGGAGCAGCGTAGGCACGCTAACGGAGGCACGAAAAGGGCTACCTAACTGCTAACAACTGGCCCAGTGCCGATCAACTAAGATCACAGCTGTAAACAGCTGTAATCGGTTGATCGGCCAGCTAAAAACGGCAGCTGGGAAAGGGAACTAGAAAAAGAGCAATCGAGGATAGCTAGAAAGGCATGGCAAGAAACGAGTGAATAGCTATAGGTCGTAATATCTATAGGTCTAAGTCTAACTAATGAAAATATAAGTACGCGACCTATATAAATAAACATCGAAAAGGCTACGTAGCCTAGATCCACCGCACTACTACAATATACTAATCGGAAAACGATAAATCTAATAGTAAAAATAAATGTTTAATTTAGGTAAAAATAATAAAGATAGTAATCTAACTAAGTACTAAACTAAATAATAAACATAGCATAACCCGTACTTACGGGAACTATAGTTACTTTAAATAAGTATAAGGCCTATCGTAACGTATTACGTAATATATTAAGAAGGTATGTTTTACCGTATTACTATAGCTTCTTTAGTTTAATTATACCGTAAGGAATAATTAAATTAAAAAGGATAATACGGTAAGTCCCGATTAATATCTCCCCTTAAAAACTACCGCGAAACTTTATTCCTCCGGCTATTATTTAATTATTACGGCCGCGCCTTTAATTTATCGTTTAATATTATAAGGAGGCTCCTTTATTACTTCATAATTAACTTAGCTTAGTTTATCCTCGCTAATCTAACTCGATCGGCGTTCTCTTTCTTTATCTCGGCTACCTTTTTCTTAGTTTCGTCCTAGCCCTCCTAATTAAGGGAATAGTAAGGAAGCGGGCGGGTTACGAAGGTTAATTAGGTATCTTTCTTTTACTTATACGGTATAGAGGTCTTCCTAGACTAGAAAGCTTTAATCCTTACTAGGCCGGGAGAAAGAAGGAAACGGATCGTAACCTTAACGAGGTTATCGTAGCGGAGGTTTATATCCGTTAATACGAGAAAGTAAAAGGGATTAAGTACTAAGGCTATAGAGAAACGGCGGACTTCGGCTTACGCGATAAACCGAACGAAAGATTTACGGCTAAGGGGCTTATCGATCGGCGTATTTTACGCTGATATTATAATGTTAATAAGGTTAATTCGCTTTTAATAATCTACGGTTTACCGGAAACGCTTAACGATACTAATCCTTCCCTTTAAAACCCGAACGCTATAAAATTATTCTACTACTTCGGCGTATTCTTTTATAATATTAAAAGAATTAAGTCCCTTATTTTCTTAAGCCTAACGCGCGACTTCGATCGGTCGTTTAAAGATAAGATACGGTAGAATGCCGCTTTAAAAACCGTAACTATAGTTATTTTATTAGTTTATTAACGCGACGTAATAAGTAAACTAAGGGGTTATATTAGGCTCGAGGCTACCGCCTTCCTAAGCTCGTTATAATTAACCGAACGCGTACGCCGCCCGATCGAAGGCGCCGTTCCTAATTATATTAAAGCTATATAGTTTCCGGAACTTAGAAAGGTATAACGCTACGGCGAAATAGGCCTAGGAGAACTTCGAAAGGTCGGTAATAATTCGTTCGGGGTTTATTAGATCCGTATAAATCGTAAAAACTAAAGTAAAGGCGGGGTTATCGAGAAAGTACCGGCGGGTTAAGAAGTTAAACGATCCTACCGATCGGTAGCCTATCGTTTAATATAGGTTTACTTTAAAGGCCGCTTTCCTACCTTCGAGGTCGTAGCTTATTATAATATAAAAGGTACGGATATCTTCATTAATAAGGTAGTCGTAATAGGCGATATAAACGAAAGAATTAATTAAGGCTACCTTCGTTTATTCTTATTATTATTAATTCATAGTTCGGAGCCGATTAGCGGATAGCCGGAAGGCTTAAGCTATATCGGATCTTAGCTCGATCTAGCCTCTCTTCGAATCGTAATTATCTAGAGTATTAAATTAATACTCCTTTATATTACTTTAGTTATCTTTATTACTATAAATCTCCCCTAGGAGTTCTATTAAGTCGGCTAAATCGGCGCGACGTACGTTTTTATAAACAGAGGAAAGGAAGAAGAAAGGAGGGATTCCGGCGGAGCGGGGGAAAGATATTATAAAAAAAAAAAAAAAAGAATTAAGAAAAGGAAAAGAAAAGATAATAAATTAAAGGTAAAAATAAGAATTTAAATTAATAATAAGAAAGGTAGGCTAGAGATTAATAAGAATATAATAATTATAAAGGGGAAGTTTTCGAAATAAAATACCTAAAGAGGAAAAAGAAAGAGAAAGAGGGAAACGTATTAACGATATAATTAGATATACCTTTACGGCTAACGTTTTAAGAAAGCGCGTTCCTTCGTATATATATTGTAATAGTGCGGTAGATCTAGGCCACGTAACCTTTTCGATGTCTATTTATATAGGTCGCGTACTCATATTTTCATCAGCTAGACTTAGACCTATAGCCATTACTTGTTATAGCTATTTACTCCTTTTGCCATGCCTTTCTAGCCATCCTCGTTGCCCTTTGCCCTTTTCTAGTCTTCCTTTCCTAGCTACCGTTTTCAGCTGGCCGATTAACTAATTACAGCTATTTACAGCTATAATCTTAGTTAATCGGCACTAGGCTAGTTATTAGTAGTTAGGTAGCCCTTATTTCGTGCCTCCGTTAGCGTACCTACGCTACTCCTATTCAGTAGCAACCACCTAGTAGCCCGAGCCGCAACCTCATCTTAGGAGTGACCTTTTGCGACCGTTTTTTGCAGTCATCAGGTTCAGGATTCGTCGATCAGGAGATTCCCTGATTTTCAGTTAATCAGGAGCTATTTTCGTAGCTCCAGAGCCGTTCTTTTCATAGCTTTCGGATTAAGCCTTTTCAGGTAGCTGGATCAATAGGAAGGGCAGACAACCATAGCGACCATTAACAACCACGCCCTCCTATTAGCTTTTAATTAGCTTACCTAAAAGCTCGTTCGCCGATTAGTGGATCTATCTTATCCTCGTTTCTCTATTATTTCTTTTAAAGGAGCTATACCCGTTTTTATTCGGTTTCGCCTTCGTTTTTACCAGTACCTAGATAGCAGTTTTTCTCTCAGTTAATCTAATACCGTTACCGCCACCCCCCCCTTTTTACAACCTCGCGCGCGCTTAAAGGCAGTCAGTCCTTTCCGATCGGTCTATTTTAATTACAAGAGGCTTACCGATAGCTCGATTACCTATATTTTATCCCTGCTAGCTAGTTACGGCACCTGGGGAGGTTTTTCTCTAACCGATAGGTACTACGATGCCTTTAATTACTATACGAAGATACCGATAGACCTTATACCCACGAACCTAATCGGGGAACCTACCGATTAGCGCGAAAGACCTATAGACGATACCGAAACGAACGAATTAAATAGGATATTGAATAAGAAAGCCTAGGAAAAAAAAAAACAGTTATAAATTATAGTCGAGAATAGTTATAGTATTACCTAGAGACCCCTCTTATCGCCCTTACCGATATGTAGTTAGTAGGAAGAGCCTAGAGAGCCCCTAGAACTACGTATAGGGGAGGGATCGAGGGTTAAGGGAAGCCTAATAAATGCTACCGGACGAATAATAACCAGAAACGAATTAGGAACGGGTATAAATAGGATATATTAGTTAGTTTATAAGATTAGGATTAGTTAAAAAGATCGGTAATAGCCATAGACGAGAAGGACGGAGATTACGTTATATCGTATGAGATTATTTCTTTGTTTCTCACGGGAGCTACGCTTGTTTTACCTGCCCCGTTGCAGTTCATATTTCCTAACTATTGATCCTTATTGTTTCTTAATA